TAGCCTGGAGCGACTGGAAAGGGAGCAAATAAGTATGTACAATGCCAAAGGTCAACAAGGCGAGGAAAGAGTAGTGCATTTTTGACATTATTACCTGAAACGCAAAAGCAAATGACGCTTTCAACATATCCGGATCTGAGGAACTGGCGAACACTTCAAGAGCAGCCGGAAGAAGTAGTCGTGACATCTCATCCTTCATACACGAAGCATTAGCAGAAGAGTCAATAACTAGGGAAGCTGGTTTAGATGAACCCACATTTGAACTTGGAACGGGAACATGATTTGGGCAGATCGTTTCTACAGAAGTATTGGGCACCGGATGAAGAGGAGGCATCATTTTCTTCTTCTTTGAGGTCAAATTCAGTAGCTCAGCTGGGTTTAAAGCTTTACGAACCCCAGGAGCTGACGAAGAAGCTGGAGGGTAACAAGGGGCAAAACATTACAATCAGGAAATGTCCACAAAATCAAGAAAATGACAACCTAAATAAATACCGGCGGTATGCTTGAGGGGGACGACATCAGTAGAATTACGCATGACAGAGGCACACTCATCCGGGCGAGGTAAAATGAGGACATCACCAGTGACACTCGTTGTATCCTCTTCCATGTTTTCTGAACTGTCAACTGAAACAACAGATACATCTTGGGATGAACCCAGAGGCTTAGACAAATTCCGATTGGATCTCCTCAAAGCAACACGAACCGGAATAACAGAATAGGGATCAGCAAGCATACCTTGGAATTCTGCCTTGAGGGTGGAATAAAGCCTAACTTCAGTATCCAAAGCCAAAATAGCATTCGTCCTCTCAACAGCCTGAGGACCAAAATCTAGGGAGAATGTCTTTGATTCACCTGGACAGGGGAAAACACAATGGCAGATCTATGAAGATTAAAACTAAAGTCACAAGCAGAAATAACATTAGCAACGATAAACACATAAATGAAACGGCAAGAATAGAGAATCACACCTGCAACTCTCAACCGGTCAGGGAGAAAACTGCCAGCCTCACCCAGTGATGACCTCTCGACGAAGAAAAATTTGGACAGCCAACCTCTATCGTTTGCATTGTCGATTCCCAGAATCAAAGATTCCATTCCTGCTTTGGCATGAAGAATGAACCTCCCCTCACCCGATGTGCGAAGGTCATACGTGAAGCCAAGATCTTCGGCTGTAAACGACAGGTTCTTCTTCTCAATCAGAAACTCCAAAGACCGAAGTAGACGCCAAGTTTGAGGAGTAAGTTGGCAAGGAGAAACTTTAGCCAGAATCAGAAAACCTCGCACTAGCTCTGAAAAGGGGAAACGTATTCCGAGTTTCTTAAAAGGATATTGATAGAACTTAACCCAGCCAGGAGACTGTTAGACCCCAGATTTTGATGAACTGTTTTTGATGATGCCAAAAGCTTTTGTTATCCCCTCTCTATTGTAGTATTATAGGAGTCTTGGTTATCCTCTTTTGTAACATCTTGCAGTTGTCTAGTACTAAGAAAGTTATCTGATGTGTCGTGCTCCTTTTAGGACGGTTAACAAATAAATATAACTGGAAAACCATAAAATGCAATAAGGCAATATTGTATTGCCTCAAAAGGATATTGTATAAATCCAACCAGTTAAATTTATTTGTTACACACAATAACATCTCGCACAAATAAACTATCTATTTTAACTGGAAAACAAAATGCAATAAGGTAATTTTACCTTAATAGGAGTTGATATCCTACCAGTTAAATATTTAGCTTATCATGTTCGAAATACTAGATAAACCATACACTCAGAGGAAGAGTTCTTGATATTCTATTCACTACAACAAATAACAATGTAAAATCTATATAACAAAAAGAACACACTGGGATTCAAAATAAAATAAGGTAAAGTTGTCTTTATCTTAAAATTGGATATTTAAATCCAACCAGTAAAGTGTTATTTGATATATAGATAAATCAAAGTGAACAAGAATAGTGAACAACTAACTGGAACACAAAATGCAATAAGGTAATAACTTTTACCTTAATAGGATTTGTTATCCTACCAGTTAAGTTGTACACAATACCTGCTAAACTACACAAGTACTTAAAAGTGACAAGAATTCCAATGTACAAACTATGTATCAGATTAAACATACTGGAACTATAAAATGCAATAAGGTAAAAATTATTTACCTTACGTGGATATTTAGATCCAACCAGTATAGCTTTAATTTGGTACATGAGTTTAATCATGTCACTTAAAGAAAGAAAGTGATTAGTAAAATAAGTGACAAATTTTACTGTGAAATTTGTAACAAATAAATTGTACTGGAAAGAACAAAATGCAATAAGGTAATCTTATTACCTTAATAGGATATTTCAAAGATCCTACCAGTACAAAACTTATTTGATACAAAATATTCTAAGTCACACATTTTACTACTTCACTACACAAAATTGAGCAGGTTTACGCACTCAGCTTTACAAGTGTAGTTGCAAGACAAGGCCAAAACACTCAGAACGCAAGAGGAGAGAAGACATCTGATTAAGTGAATAGTGAAGAGTTTCAGAATAGGCATGCAGCGATAAGAAGGCCTAAGGTATGGGTGTTATCTTCGTACAAAGCAAGTGGTCTTCAAAAGACAAATCCTTATCCTGCTCCAACACAAGAAGACGCAAGTACAATACTTTGGACGTCTAGGATTAAATCCTCTTAACCAACGGAGGAGATTAATCTACTGGAGATGCCTATAAAAATAGGCAGAAGCATGAGATCAAAGGTAAGTCATTGAGTTCAAAGCAAGTGGTTCAGTCATTACACTACGCATATCCAGCAAAAGAAAAAGTGCTTGAACACTCTGCTTTGACTCATGCTTCACTAAGCTCTTAGACTAGATCATTCAGTGTAACATTTATAGAGCTTAGGTTTTAGTTGGCGGTTAGACACTTCGTGAATCAAAACAAGTTGTTGTAAACACTTAGGAGAACAGTTGTTCGGATCCTAAAGTGTGGTTAGATAGATAGAGTACCTTTTGATCCCCACTGGATCAATTGAGAAAAGTCTAAGGACTGAGTAACTTTGAGTGGTGTTATACTCATCGTGAAAAACCTTCAATCTAGGCCAGAGTTGTCAAGGCTAGATTGGCACTAATTGTATTGGGCTGAATACTTTAGTGGAAATCCATCTGAAATAGGGTGGGACTGGATGTAGGAGGATTACACCACCTCTGAACCAGGATATATCGTGTGTTGATTTACTTTCATACATACAGAAGCACACACCAAACACATCTCACTAAAGGATTGTAGTTTGCCAGCAGCATCCTAAGCAGTAGTCTTCATCGACTGTACTGCTTAGCCTACTGCTTAATAACTCACTCTCCTTGAGAGTGTTTTCCACTAGAAGCTATCTTTCACTCAGAAGGTGCCTCAGCAGTACCCTGGACTTCACCCTCCTGCTGAGCCCACTGCCCATTTATATGTGTCTTTCCGAACGCCATAACAAGCCAGAACAAAAAGCCATCCAAGAGTCATCCTGTTCTTAACAGTTGCCTCAGCAGCAACCTGCCCACCAGTCGACTGCTAACTCAGCAGTTGCCTGCCAGTCAGCAAACTGCCTGTGCAGCAGTAGACTAAGCAGTTATCTGCTCACCAGTCTACTGCCAAGCCTACTTCCTCTTGTCACCAGTCTAAACATCATCTAAACTAGAAAGTTGTCTCACACCAAGTATAAAGAGGTTAAAGACTTCCGCTGTGCATCTATTAATCTCTTAAAAGATTATAGATCAACTCATCTAGAGGGAAAAACTTCACAAAGTTGAAAAAGATTTAAAAGTCTATTCACCCCCCCCCCCTCTAGACTTTTACCTCTATCCGGGACCATCAGAGACACCCAGTCCACTCTCTCAGACCTCACAGGGTAACGAATCCTGGCAGAAGGAGGAAAACCATAAAGCGCTTCGATCTCTTCTTTGTCCTTCATCCGCAGGTCTCCAGCCCTAAGGTGTCTAGCGTCGAGGACTTTTTGACTCTTGAAGACGACTGCATCCATGGTTACAATGAATACAGGACGAAGTAAAGGATAAATCCGCCAGACACGAGATTGAGACTAAATCTTTGAGAAGAAGATGAAGCAAGGATCGAGGGGAGTAATCGAGTAGGTATCCCGGTTTACGAAGAGACTGACATTGGAAAGAGTTGTTCAGACGAAGACTTTTAAATTCATAATGACTACTCTATTCGCGCTTATTTCGTTGTCATCATGAATGGGGGCATTGTTAGACACGGGATTTACTAAGGAGTGGGGTCCAAGATCTGTTCGGTCCAAGCTATGAAGCCCAGCAGCCAACGAAGCCTAGCAATCCAAGTCCAATACCAAAATCTAGAAGCCTTGAGAATAGACTAAGGATAAGAACGAATTTGAATTTAAACTTAAGCAGCTATACTTGGGGAGAAAGTCCCTAACTATTCGGATAGTGGGTTCGGCCACTAGGGAGGCAGCTGCATGAGATATAGATAGTGGATATCTCATGTATAAATACTCCATTCTGAAAATCAACAAGGCGGATGATCAATACTCATACAAAGAGCTCAATACACGAACTCAGTTATTTTACAAGCTTTGTACTCAATCATATTTATTCTTCTTCAACTATTATATCACGTATTGCTCTTAATAATTCGACCCATATTTGATTCTTCATTGCTTGATTCCCAATTCGAGTTTAGTAGAAATTAACTAAATTCTTGCATAAACAGTTACCCCTCTACCCGCTGGGGTATAGGGGGTATGGGTACATGTACGAGGTGACCCCACATATTATATTATATATTTGTGTTCATGAATGTTTGCGTGCTTATATATGTATAGAGTTATCCTGGACATTTTAATGTTAAACGGTGTTTGAAGTACACACAATCTTACAACATTGCTTATTTTATGCACCGCTTATTAACGTGAGTCATAATAAACACCATTTAGTAAGTGTTCATTCTTGATAATATATTGTTTATTTCCTTTCATAACTCAAAAGAAAGAGCAAATCATATGCGGAGTATAAGCTGTGTGGCGGGAGACCGGCTCTCCAACTCTCCAACCCATTTTCGCGCGCAACCCCAATTGTCTTGAGAGATTGATGAGTTCTGGTTTGTGTACAAATTAGGGTTCATTTATTAAATTTCTTCATTTCATACTGCAATGCTAAAAGGCCGTCAAAGCATCAAAAGATTGATTGGCAGACACCGCCGATTTCTCCCCAATCGCCATATCATCTTCTCCTCACCCGCCGCTCAGGTACACAAGCACAGAGGTTCACATGCGCTGATACAGTAACTTATGGATTTTATTTGATGTAGGGTTTCTTGAGTGAGGGCAAGAGGGCCGATGACTCCGAACCTGAGCGGCATCACCATCAGAGCGACGGCAGTGGAAAAGAAAGCGATCACTGTGGCGCGGAATGGGTTAACTGTCCGGTTTGTGGAACTAGAGTTCTTGGAAATGATCAAACAATCAATTCACATTTAGGTTCTATACTCCTTCTAGAGTCCCTTCATACAGTCGCACGGAAGAAAAACCATCATTGACGCGCATATTGGCATTTAAATTTGGGGTTGTTCCTTAGTTTGGTCATTGTCTTTTCAATTTATTACTGCAAAGATGTTTCTAAGTTAGATTACTTTATAGACAATGCAAGCTCAGTGCAGAAGGTATGGAACAGTGGCATAACATGTACCCTAAATTAAAAAGTCACCTTAAATTTAAATTTGAGGTGGGCTTCAGGAATATTCAATCATATTCCTTATGGGTAAAAAAGCTTATATACGAAGTAGTTTTTATACCCAACTTGGTAAGGGCATGTGTGTAGGGATACAAATTAAATAAAAAATGTAGTTGCTAACAGCCTCACATAAGAGTGACACCTTCACTGAGTTAGTGAGTTTACTCGGTGCAGTTTCTAACAGTCTAATGACTGGATTACTTTGGGATGGAAGTATTATTTGCTCAATATCCTACTCTTGAGGGAGTATTTTCTGAGAACATTCCATACCTAGATAGGATCATAGGACAAGTATTTTGATTAGTACTAGAAAAGTCAAGAGCTTAAACTTGGTGCTAATACATTGTTAGGAATGCAACCAAGGAATAAAAAGTGTAGAAACTAGAAAAGACAAGTATTTCAATATTCTTGTCTCTTGTAACTCTTGAGGGAGCATTTATTAATTAGTCATTAGTGACTTACTTATGACCTTCTTGTATTGTCTCTTCTCTCTGACTCTCCCCCAAGGAAGCTCTTCAGTCACACTTACTGGTTCTCTTCTCCCACGACCTATGACCCTCTCTCGAAAAGGCTCTCACTTCCCCCCCATCAAAGTGTCCCAACTCTCAACCCTATGTTTATTAATCTGTAAGGCTAGAGACTAGCCTTATCTAGAACCTGATGTTATTTTCTACTTCTTTTAGAGTCTTCCAAGAAGTCTCCACAAGCTTCTATTATCTTCTCAAAGAAACTTAAGGTAGAACTTTACTATATCTAGAACATTCCACAACCTTCTAGATGATTCTAAGTAATTATTTCTCTCTCTATGTAACTATATAACATTCTTCAAAGTTCAATGGTTATACATATATCTTGAGAATTCTAGACTCTACATATCACAAAATTATAGAATTCTTTTCAATCAAGGAGGGACCACAGAAAATGGAACTCTTGAATTCTTGATGAGACCTTGATGCTTCAGTTGGTGAAAAGAGGCTTTCTTTTTTTCTCTTTTTTATGTTCTTGTGTTTTTTGTTATCTGAATGGGGAATTTTGCAATTACATTCAATGTTTGTCAGATAAATGTCTTGATAAAGGAAAAAAGCGCAAGCTACTCCAACGCACACTCCTTGAATTGAACTTTTACTCAAGTTCAGCAGTCAGAATTCATGCTAAAGAATCAGAGTTGACAGAGACAGCTGCTGTTCAAACTAGAGATGATGTTAGCGTTTTGGAAACTGCGCATAGACTTGAAAACCCTGGCGTAACTGTATGCCAGTTTGAGAGCAGTAAACTCCGTAATACTGGTTTAGAGTTGGCTAAGTTAGATGATCTTAGAAGTTACAATGATGTCGATGAAATACCTTCATCCTACACGAGTGGGCTAGAAGCTTGTACTGAAATTCAAATGAATGGTGACATGATCAACGCGAAATGTATTTGCCCTTCATTGCCCACAGAACATGAGATGAGTATAGATGATAACATTGAATCAGTGGGCAGTGATGACTTGTCCGAGCTGTCTCTCGATACTTACATAGTTGCTCGTAGGTTTGCGGAAGAAACAGAGCTAAAACTTGGTGCGAGTATATTGCTATCAAGAGACCCTGAAAATGTCAAGGATGTGAATGCAATCAAGGTTAATCATTATGATTTTCTAGTAATTGATCTGTAATTTGTGCGCTCATAGTTCCTCTCTCCACATGCAAATTAGGTGCTTTCTACACATTGTGGATACGACCAAACAATTGGCTTTCTCCCCCGTGAATTGGCTTATTATTTAGCTCCTATGTTGGAAAAGTTCAACTTGAGATTTGAGGTACTTCCCAACCAGTGCAATTGAATTAACAAGTTGAATTGTATTATGATGTACATATTATTTCTAGAGGTTTTTATCTATAACTTATGGACAAAAATATTACTATATATACTCACTATAATGTATAGTTGAACACAAATTATTATGGTCACTAAAGTTACTATGATAATTACTAAAGTATAAAAAATCATATTTTTGTCCATTACTTTTATTTCAGCCAAGTCTCTCTGTGCTTTAGTACAGGGTTAAGACTGTGTACATCCAACCTTCACTTACCCCACCGAAGGTGTGGGAGCCTTTGCGCCACTGGGGTAATGACGACGACTTGTATTTCAGCCTAAGTTGCACGGAAACGGGAAACGAGAAACGAGAAACGGGAAACGGGAAACGCGGGAAACGGCATTTTTAAAAAATATAGGAAACGAAACGTGGGGGAAACGCGTAAATATAACAAATTTAGGGATTTTTTAATAAATATTATATATACATATATATGACACTACTACTACTAATAGTAATTTTAATAGAAATGATACTAATGAAACATTACTAAGACTAATAAGGATTCTAATCCAAAATTTTAAAAACATGGCAAAAAATTTTACTCCGTACGTTTAATAAATTGAATGGTCCAGCTTTTACATACGGAGTATGTAAAAAAGGTGCGGCCTTCTGGTCGTTCTCATATATATATATATACCTAATAAAAACACAACTACATTCCCTCGTTCGTAATAATCGACAAATAGATGTGCAGCGCAGTCTCCAATACAGAAAAACAGAGCGATTAATAGCTAAATACGAAGTGTGAATCGACGCTGAGCGAGTGCATCCTAAAGTCGAAGCTTGAAGCCGATGAACAGGACTGCAGGTTCGAACCCAGTTGAAGCTTGAACTTTAGAAATTTCTTAACCTCGGTAGTTTCCGAAACACAGCAGAAACGCGTTTCAAACTTTCCTAAATTACAGAAACGGGCCCGACATGCGTTTCTCGCGTTTCTTCCATTTGGAAACGCACCAACGTTTCCGAAACGGGGAAACCTCGGTAGTTTGACGTTTCCGTGCATCTTAGATTTCAGCCATATATTTGTCATTATTTCTTATTGATAAGAACACAATGGCTCGAGCTCGAATGAGCCTAATATTTTTTTGGCCCGAGCTATGCTCAAACTTGACTCGGGCTCGGCTCATGCTCGGTTCGAGTTTTGCTCATTAGCTTTTATAGGTTCAAGCTTGAATAAGGTGCTTGAACTCGAGCTATAAATAATTTTTTTATTTTCAAAATCATTAATACTTATATTTATATATACAAATAAATAAATAAATAAATAAATATATACACACACATATATAAAATATGTGTGTACTGTGTATATGTACTTGTGTGTGTGCATGTGTGTTATGGCGTGCGATCCACAAGCTGAAAGAAATTGAGCTCGAGCTCGGCTCAATTTTTAACAAGCCGGATCGAGCTTGGCTCAAGTTCCAGTTTGACCAAACTCGAGTTGAGTTTTGAATGAGCGACTCACGAGTAGCTCATGAGCGGCCTGACTCGTTTGCACCCCTAGCTTGACACTTCAACTATTTGATTGCCCATTTCCAATACGTGACCCAAACATGCATAATGCTATACATTTACTAAGATTTATATAGGGTTTTAGCTAAACATAAATGATTTTTATTGTACGCCCATGAGAATGTGATACATAGACATTAATGTGAAAGAATATGACAATTCCAAGAAAAGAATAAACGTGATCTAAAAAGTGACATGATTATCACTAAAGTTTATACATTTATCATCATTGTCTATGATAATTTCAGAAAACTAGAACATCTATTAGCTATAAATTATGGGCATATGTTCGAAAGCCCAATAATATTAACTATAACCTACACAGTATTGAGTAACTATTTCCTCGTTTTCCAGACATGCTGAACTTCTTTTCTAATTATCAATTGCACCTCTTACTTAAGCTGTTTCATAACATTTCTTTTATTTTGCTCTTTATTGATGATATTCGACAGGGCCACATAACCTCTGTTCCGAAACATCCTCATGCTGTGGTCCCGATTCAGATAACTTGTCAATGCAATACATCTTTTGATGAAACAGATAGCAATAGTGTCAACTTTTTCAAGTCCTCCTGGAAAAATGTGCTCTGTGTTGCTGAATCTGCAAGGGCTCATCCTCCTGGTACTGCAAAATATCAGCATAACCTCCAGGTTTTGCTAAAGGAAGTTCTTGAGGCTTACCATCATCTTTTTCTAGATGAAGAGAAAACTTTCTTGGGTGTGTAATCCCTTTTAGTTGTCTTTTTGATGTGTGTGCGTGTGCGCGCGTGCGTGGGCGGGTGCGTGCTTGTGTCAAATAAAAAATGTTCTCAATGTGCTAAAAATGCGAAATGCACTTGCAATAATCTCTGCAGCACTTGTATGGTAAAGGTAAACCATTGCACTATAAATAGTTGAAAAAAATGCATAAAAAACACGTGGTGTCAATTTTGAAAATAAGCGATTTTTTTTACAAATGTGAAAGAGTGCATTACATGAACAGAAAAGTGCACCGCAGTGTTGCAAAAGTGAATATTTCACATTTTACACATTAAGACCCCTTTTTATTTGATATGCACCCTATATATGGTATGGTTTTGAACTTGCGTTAATGCTCTATCTTATTTTTGTCTACAGAAGGCTTCTTATCTCTTTCAGATGATAGCCAAAGGCTTTTCGCTAGGCTTTATACACGAAAAGGTCTTCGTCTTACCCTGCAATTTTAGTTGTTATGCCTTTGTGAGAACTAAAAGCTTCTACTCTTTTACTGACAAGTAATACTCCATTACTTGTTCAAACATATTTTGCCGTCCTGTAGTTTAACGACATTTTATGTATTCAGAAATATTCATTGGTAACCTTAAGCTTACACTTTCTATTCATCCATTATGTACAATCTAGTATGATATGTTTGTAAGTCTTAGCAAATCTGTATTGGTACATCTTTAAGAGTTATCACTATCACCCCTATTTAATTCAGGGCCATGGTTTCGTATGTGTAATACATCATATGCTGAAGTATCTGATTGCAATGAAGCACTAAATGGACTTACTGGTAAAGATATTCTATAGCTATGTATATCTTTTTGCTAACTTTATGTCAGTTTTGTTCATCCAAGTTTTTTCTTCTTTTCCATCTCCTTAATACAGTAGGAGGCTACATTACCTCTTGTGAATTGATAAGTGAACCCAGTGATATTAAGGAGGTCTTGAATGTTCTGAATGTTGGTGAAATACAGGACCTCTTGCGCATCGTCAACAAGGTTTGTCACCTGTATACACATAAATCACACTTTTTACAAAGCAAAATGCATTTTTGGCCATTGAGGTGTGTACAGCTTACTTAGTTTTTTGGTTCCTAGCTATCATATTTGCAAATATATCTTGCAGTTATACCATTTTGTTGGGTCTTATGCTCATTGATAGTTTTAACTAATTCCTTCTGGTATTTACGATGTTTTTAATTGGACTGAAGTTTTCTAGTCAGGTCTGTTTAAGTCTAGTATGGTCTGATTTGTCTGAACTAGCTTGGTTGTTGTCATTTTTTATTTGTATTTTACAAATGTCGAAGTCTGATCTGGTCTTGTCTGTGATTGAAACTAGTCCAATTAAAAACTTCTTTACTTCTATTCAGTAATAAACTAAAACTTTTCGTAAACTTTTAAAATCCCTACTTCATGATTTTTAGAGCCCATTATTTAGAGAAATAATGGAACTGATCCGATTAAGATTAGAACTTGTAACACATATAAAACTATGATAACTATATTATTACAACAACTATACTACTTCTAAAAATGTGGCAACTCTCTTATTATTTTAATACCTGCCCTCATGCTACAACATCATATGCTCCCAGGTTGTTACCCAAGCTTTAAAATTTCATAACTTGAACTTCAAACTCTTTTTGAATTGAAATGGCGAAACTTGAACATCTCATGCCTATTGAGCATCCAAACATTAGCTAAGGCACTCCAGCATTTTGGTTTGGTTCCAGTTCAAAACCAAGGACACGTTTAATATAACTCTTACACTTTCACTTGATGCATAACTCAACACTAATTAAGTTTCCTAACTACTGAGGCTTGAACATTAGTGAGATCGTACAAATAAGATCTTAAGTGTATGGTATGATCTACTTAACCCCCCCCCCCCCCCCGGAATATGACGATCCCTACATTGCCATATATATGGTGAAACTCGTTTATTGGATGTTGACAAGTACGATAACTTTTCAACATTTAATAACAGTGCTACATGTGAATGCACAAAAAAAAGTAAGGAATGAATACGCCTAGATTTATGGTATCAGTGTATCTCTGCAGAGTGACAAAATGATACTTTTGCACACCTTGTTGGACACATTTTGCACACACGAGCTCAGATTAGGTCACAAATGGCCATTATGTGTCAATTTAGGTAGGGATCGTCAATGGGCTGAGCTGCTGAGCTTGGCCACAACGGCCCAAAACTAATGGGTATGGATTATATTGGCTCAATATAAAATAAACTAATCAATGAGCTGGCTAGGTTTTTATAATGAAACTGCAGCTCTAGCTTGTCTATATATATATATATATAGATTTTGGTTCAATTGAGAAATGCATCTATTGTGAGAAATGAGAATGAATCTCAGCCATTGGATTTCCGATTTTGCACTAAAAATAGCTTGATGTTGCAGTAAGATTTAATTTTTTGCAGTGTTGCACTAAAATTGTTTCATATTGCACTAAAATTTGGCGACGTTGCACCAAAACAGCTTCATGTTGCACTAGATGTCTGTAATACGGATTTTTCAGAAAATGTCACCAAAGTGGGTTGCATATTTTAGTGCAATATAAAGTGTTTTTACTGCAAAATAGTCGAATCCAATGGCTGAGATTCATTCTCACTTCTCACCTAAAGGGTTCTTCTCACTTGAACCTTACCCTATATATATATATATATAGGCTTTAGGGGCGGTCCGGGCTGGCCCACATGTCACTAATAGGGCTAGTCCTAGATGGGCTTACAAGAAAAACATAATGTTCCTTATGTATCAGGAAATACAATGTAATTAGCTAAGTGAGTGAAAAAGAATCCATTACTTTAGAAAATGTAATAATAAAACAAAAGTTTGAAGTTATCTACAAGTATTTGGCAGTACACTCTTTAAATGGAGATGTGCGAATATCACACTTATAACTTCTCAATCTCTATCAAATCTTTATCACTTAACAATAATCAAGAAGCGGTGTAACCAATCGAGTGGACATCAGCCCTACATGGAGCCTTCCACTTGTACCAGACGATGCAGCCCAGCACCTATAACCTGAATTGCTTGATTTGTGGGAGTCCCATTCCACCATCAGCCAGCTGTAGTTCATGGGAGTCAGTAAGAGCAGCTTTGATTAGGATGATGTACCTTGTATTATAAATAGAGGTCTCGTATCTCCGACTAGAGGATTGATTCATTTATACTCGTACTCATAGTCACTTAGAAACAAAATCATTCCACTGTTCTTTGTGCATCATTCTTGTTTAGTTGTTTACATATGGTCTAATTTGACTGTTCGTAGTACAACATCCTTATCTTGAGAGCTTGAAACGAAATCGCTATCGTAATTTTCAATGATAGTTTTTTACTTTTTTCAAATTCACTTTTAGGGTCTAACAGAAGTCTTCCTTTCCTATCCTTGCTTCCTTAGTGGAAAACAGAGTAACAGTTTTTAATGGTGCATTTAGTATTCTCTTTTTTCTTAAGTTTGATCAATCCAGAATGCCTACTTGATGAGCCTCACTGATGCCCCCTTAACGGGTTATGACTTTGTGGGGTATAAAATTTTCATGCCAACTAATCATCCGGTTGAATTTGGGAGTTATATCATGCACTCATGGGATTACCAATTTGAACATCACCAGTTTTTGTTTTTGTATTTGCAGTTTAATTATGAACTAGATACTACTGGTTGTGTAAACATTATATAGATTGAGTGCTATGCATTATGACCTTATCAAAATGAATTAAGTATGGAGCATCAAGGATGGTTTCTATCTAAATTTGTTTGAAATTCCATAGTTTATGCTCCTAAATTGCACTGGCTTCTGATGACTACACAGAAAAAGACATACTGTGTGGACAGATACGGGCCATACATTTCACGGTTATTCCATTTAGCTAAATTGTTCAGTGTCATACACTTGAATTAGGCATCTGTATAGTAGACTCTGTGTAACAACCAGTATTATAATCTCTCAAGCAAGATCATTCAAAATTTCCACCTGCACAAACAGTTCATTGAGTTTACCAGAGCCTATTGTTCTCGGCTTCTCGCACAAAGGAAAATAGTGCCCCAAAATAACTTGGCAAAAATTTTCCTTCAGTTAATTTATTTCCTGTTATACACTGCTCAAGAGGACAATTGATATGAAGCAAAATCTGGGCTTGGAAGAAGAGGGGCAGAAGCCCCCGTGGGTTTACCGAAGGCGGGACAGACTTGAGCCCACCTTCGTGGGCTGGTTGTGGGCTGTTTAATTATTATTTATTCTTTTTATTTTTCCTGATTTGTTTCCTTTTGGAGTTAATTAGGATTTCTATTTTTTCTTTTCTATTTGAAGTTGATTAGGATATTTATTATTCTGTTTCCTAGTTGGAGTTGATTAGGATCTCTAGGATTTTGTTTCCTAGTTTAAAAGTTAGTAGATGGGTATTTAAACCCCTTGTCAGTATTTATTCTGGATCATATTGGAATAAAAGTTGGTTTAGCCTTTTGGCTCTGGGCAACGGTATTTATTTATCGTTGATTATCTGGGCAACGGTTCACCCCGTTGATTTTATTTTTCTGTTCTTATCAATTGGTCCGACCTGCCGGATCCCGTCCCGTCAGAATGACGAGATCTATCAGTGAACTTTGTCAGAGATGGTGGCCAAGCAAACTCAAACCCTAGAGGGGCACAACATGCGTCTGGCAGAGATCGCCGCATCCCTGGCAGCGCTTACCAAGGCACTTGTTCCACCAGTCACAACGGAAACAAGCTCGGACACGGTTGGCAGCCCCAACGTATCTGCGCACAAGGGCGACGGACAGCCGCACAACGTCACTTCCTCATTGGCTGCACTCAAAAAGACTCTCGCACCGCCAACGGCGGAGCATTCAACGGTGGTGATTTCACTGGACGCGGCAGCAGCATCCTCGTTCGGAATTGGACTATGCAGTTCCTTTCTTATGACATTGCCCTCGTTTAACGAAGTAGAACCGATCAGCCGGGTTGATAAGGCTGAGAAACGGTTCGAATTGAATTGTGCTCTGCCGGGAAAGAAGGCGACAACCATTGTAGTTGCGATGGAAGGGTTAGCCCTATACCGGTTGACCTGGATACGGACACGAAAGCCGGGGATGTCATGGGATGAGCTTACACAGGCGATGGCTCGTTATGACTCACGGTTTAAGGGCAATCACTTTGAACGACTGTCCGGAGGCAAGCAGACATGGACTGTGGAGGAGTACATCTCAATTTTTCCTAAAGATACTGGGCAGCCACCGGGAACAAATGTCAGTCGGTTTCCGGATTTCAACCTTGAGGACAAGGTTTTTTTGAAGAGGGATGGAATTGATATGAAGCAAGATCTGGGCTTGGAAGAAGAGGGGCAGAAGCCCCCGTGGGTTTACCGAAGGCGGGACAGACTTGAGCCCACCTTCGTGGGCTGGTTGTGGGCTGTTTAATTATTATTTATTCTTTTTATTTTTCCTGATTTGTTTCCTTTTGGAGTTAATTAGGATTTCTATTATTTCTTTCCTATTTGAAGTTGATTAGGATATTTATTATTCTGTTTCCTAGTTGAAGTTGATTAGGATCTCTAGGATTTTGTTTCCTAGTTTAAGAGTTAGTAGATGGGTACTAACCCCTTGTCAGGATTCATTCTGGATCATCTTGGAATAAAAGTTGGTTTAGCCTTTTGGCTCTGGGCAACAGTATTTATTTATCGTTGATTATCTGGGCAACGGTTCACCCCGTTGATTTTATTTTTCTATTCTTATCAACAGCATATGAATTATTCTTTTCCATGCTATATTTCTATATTATTCTCCTTATCAAGTATCAATTTCATGTCCATTAATTCTTTCTGTTAAGTTGGACATATTTTTCTTCTTCCTTTTCTCAATTCCAGTGAAACAAGCATGTGAAAGAGTTTTTATGTTAGAGTTTGTTCAAAAACTTTTTCCACTGTTTGAGGCTTAAGTAATGTGCTCAGGAAAATAGGAAGGTTTCAAAAAGATTTGGTCATGGTACCAGGAAGCAAGATTATGTTGATGTCCTTCTCTCCGTATACAAAGATGGTTTATGGTATAATGTTTCTTAAAGCTACTCGTTGCACTGTTTATCCCATTCCCGTTAAATATTTGTCATTTCAATAATTATCTCTCAAAATATTGATGCAGCCCTGATCTCATGAAGTTGTTTCTCTTGAAAGCTGGGATGTGCATTCAGATATCTCCATCGGCTGAGTCTCTCTTTTGGCGTGCAGAAGTAGTATCCGAATATTTGTTATATTCGACTGATTATTTAACAATTGTCAATTTGTTATATTTGCTTGACCACTTCCCCTCTGTTTTACATGTTCCATGCAGAGGCTCTTTTTCTTGAATGGTGAGCAAGATTTGTCCTCATTTTTACTTGTTGACTTGGGCATTGTGAAGTATCCCATTTACAACTGTATGCTGACTAACCAAATATTTCCAACCCGAAGTCACCTGCTTTCTTTTGAAACGGTACTCTAGGCAGTTTTGAAGGTTAATACTTTTCTTCTAATCTAAGCTAAAGATAATGAAGTTCTATGGCAGGCTATAGAGGTTGCCCAAATTATGGATGAATGCCTAGATCACAACAATGCTGAGATGGTGTCAAAATGCATAGACATCTCTGTCTCTCAAATGTCGAGCTCTTTAAACAAAGAAGAGCTGTCAAGCTCTGGGCCTATGGCTGCTTTTTTGTCTTGCTTTACTGCCATGTATGTCTACTCTAAGGTAGTCTTGCTTGGAGCTTCTTTCTTCGAGCGGGAGCGAAGGTACTTAGGCTAGGCACAATAGTAACTTCAATTCATAATCGATAAAAGGATACTCTGACACATATTTGCCACTTTATTGCTTGTAAGACCATTTGGAGTGGTAAGGTATTAGGAGTCTAAAAAGCTAAATGTAGATTTTTTAGACTCCTAAATGTGTGTAGTGGAAGTTTAAATGGGGTATTAAAAGTGGGAAAGTGGATGGAAGGGGTTAAATATAGAGGGTTGGTTTAGAGGAGTGGGAAAAGAAAAAAGAAAGAAAAAAGAATATAAAGGACGTACGGAGGTTTCATAAGAAAAAGGATGACACTCCATCCTTGAGGGACCCCCAACACCGACCGGACGGCACGATGAGAGGATGTAAATTGGACGGAGGTTTCATTTTTTGTGCGGATGATGCCAGCTGATATCATCTTTGCATCATAAAATCCCATTTTTTAAAAAACTTATATAACTTTTTTATTTTTTCTCCAAAATTTTCAAAAAATACATCAAAATCTATAAATTTTTATGATCTTTCATATAACACCAATATGTAATATATAAACTGGGAAAAAAACTGAAGTTTAAACTGTTGAAGTTTTCTTGAATCCCAAAAAAACATGAAACACAAATTTTTAATTCATGGAGCCTTCACAAATAATTGAATATTTCACAATCGAACTTTACTTGAACTAAGTTCATTTTTTGTTAATCGGAAAATTTTTAAAAAATTGTTGAAATTTATTTATTTTTACACCAAAATGTGTATTTTTTATTTCAGAATTATTCAGGGAAAAAATTAAAAGGAAAAAATTACTTATAATAATTTAATTAATGTTTTACTAAATTGGTATGTAAAAAGATATGATGAATGTGTTTTATTGACGGTGCTGGAATGCAGAGAAATGAGAGTCTAAACACTGTTTTCATATGGACGGAGTCCATTTTTAACATTTTAGCCCCTCAACCACTACAAATGGTCTAAGGATACCTTTCTATCCAAGTTAAATGCCTCAAAGAATATGTTTCATAAAGACTAGTCATGGCTTGTATAGCAATCATTCTGTGACATTGTGGATTTTGTTTATTTCCTTTCTGGTTAAACATCTTGATATATGCAATGGGCAGTTCCAGAATTTGAGCTTTATTGCATGAATGAAGTGCCTTGTGTGATTGTATCATATGTATCTGACTGAAACCTAATTTATTTATGCTTTTACTAGAAATACAATAACAACATCCAAGCCGTAGTCCCAAAAGATATTGGGGTCGGCTAACATGATATCACCACCAAAAGGAAAAGAAAGAAAATAAAGATAAAAAAATAAGCTATTAGATACCTAAAAATGATAAAATAAAAAGGATAAAAATAATGTTTATATATATAAGGTTAAAAGAATAAAAAACAAGAAGAAAAAAGATGAGGGCTTTTACTAGAAATACATTTAATAAAAATACTGTAACAATAATTGTTGCTAATTTTGTCTTACTTTACTTGGCAAGGTACAACGATGCAATCATATTGCTCAGGAAACTGCTACACACTTTCAAAAATGACAGAAGAAGGGGATATTGGGCTCTGAGACTTTCAATTGATCTGGAGCATGTCGGGTGTCCTGATGAGAGCCTTCAAGTTGCTGAACATGGGTTATTGGATCCGTGGATTCGTGCTGGCTCAAAACTGTCCCTGCAGCAACGCGTCCTTCGGTTGGGTAAGCCCCCTCGACGGTGGAAAACACCAAGCTATTCCAAGTCTCTTAAACGGAAAATTCCAGAGGTAAATCCAAGCACATTGCATTATTTTGTGCGCATTGACATTCAATTTTGGGTCATTATATGTAAATAATATATATTGAAGTGATAATGATTCCAGGTTCATGTTCAAGGAAGACCTCTGAACTGCAAGATGGGGGTGAAGAGTGTATTTTATGGTGAAGATGGTGAACGGTGTGGGGTGGAACAACTTGCTCTCCAATACTATGCAGGAGAAGGTGGTGGTTGGCAGGGTGTTCATACTGAAAGTGGCATTTGGTTAACCCTCTTCGGGCTCTTGATGTGGGATTCAATATTTGCTGATATTCCAAATGTCTTTTGCACCAAGTTTCAGGTATTCTATAATCCCTTCTTAGTAATTAATTGCCTATTATGTGTAAAAACCAGATGATTAACTAAAATTTTCCTGCCTTTTCTTCTTATCTCCTATATTTTCTACCCACCCCTACAAAGGTAGAACCTCACTCTAAGGATGTTTTTACTTGGACTGTAATTTGTCCCAGACCAGACCAGACTTGGGTAGTTATAAAAATACAAAGAAACCAGACCAGACCAACAAATTACAGTCCAAGTAAAAACATCCTAAGATTCTGTTAAAACCGTATAGAAGAAACTAATTGTGCGCGGAGGAAGACTATATTAGATTTATAATTTGTAGTGTTTGGTACCAAATTTGGCTAATAATCCAAATAAATAAAGAACCAAACGAGTGCAAAATTAGTTCGGGGTCGTACTTGCTTTGCTTTATATAGCTGTTTTAAACCCAATTGTATTTCTCACATATTTGGTCAAGTTTCGTATATTTTTCTGGTTATTGACTTTTCGTGTTGGAATAAATTAAAAAGATATACTCTATCTAATACATCTTTCTCAGACAGCACCTTTGGATTTGGAGGCGGACAGCTTCTACGAGGTTAGAAAGGATCAGATAGAAGCAGTCCTTGATAAGATACAGGACGGAATGGCAGAGGAGATACTTATCACTTCATGGGAATTACATAAAGGGACATCATGCAGGGGGGTAAACTGGGACAGGCATTCTCTTTCAGAACTCAGAGCAGCAGTGGCATGCATTGGAGGCTCTTGCATTGCTTCAATATGCCGACATTTGGCTCAAGATTACCGGAGTTGGTCTAGTGGAATGCCTGACTTGTTATTGTGGCGCTTCCACGACAATTACAGAGGCCAAGCCAAACTTGTTGAAGTAAAAGGCCCAAGAGACCGACTTTCTGAACAACAGCGTGCTTGGTTATTGTTCTTGACCGACTGTGGGCTCAATGTCGAGGTATGCAAGGTAAGCCAAGCTGCAGTATAGTATATACTAGCTTGGATCAGTCATCATTGAATAAGCAATGTATTTCTCCATACAATATGCGTCATTAATATTTCATCCGAGCAGTATATAGGTATATATTGTCCATGTCAAACTAAATTAGGTGTATAGCAGTTTTTGGGCAATAATTTTAATGAGCATGTAACATCTGTGTACAGTGATAAGGTTAACATATTAAGCATATGTGTTAAATAAGTACATCAAGTTAAGAGGACCGATCATATCAGGCCGGCCTGACAGAACCGCCGGCAGGTCAAAGCCATCAGAGGCAGAGGCCCTTCCTGGTGATTTTTTTTTGAGCATGTTCCTCATCAAGTCTAGTTTATCCATTCCAAATTTCAGCTAAAAATTCAATCGTGAAGGTAGTCAAATAAATTATTTACAAAACCTATGCTTTATATAGATGAAACTTCATGTCAGGCCGGCCTGACGGGCTGCCCCGTCCGGCCGAGCCCGTTTGGGCACCTTCCCGGTGGAATTTTTTGATGAAAATTTTTGAGCATGTTCCTCATCAAGTCTAGTTTGTCCATACCAAATTTCAGCTCAAAATTCGATCGGGAAGGTCGTCAAATGATTTTTGCAAGTTAACTTGTCCGGAAAATACATATTCCGGACCAGTTAACTTGCAAAAATCATTTGACGACCTTCCCGATCGAATTTTGAGCTGAAATTTGGTATGGACAAACTAGACTTGATGAGGAACATGCTCAAAAAAATTCATCAAAAATATTCACCGGGAAGGTGCCCAAACGGGCTCGGCCGGACGGAGCAGCCCGTCAGGCCGGCCTGATGAGAAGAGCTCTCGCTTTATATATACATAAACAATGCAGTTTTCGTCAACAATTTATTTGACTGCCTTCCCGATTGAATATTTAGCTGAAATTTGGTATGGATAAACTAGACTTGATGAAGAACATACTCAAAAAATTTCTTTAAAAAGTTCCACCGAGAAGGGCTCTGATGGCCTCGGCCGAACAGTGAGTCCTGTCAGGCCGGCCTGGCTGGATCGCTACTCTCAAGTTAATATAAGGAATTACCATGTGTTACAATAGTTAATATGTAGAACCAATCATTTACTTCCACATGGACTAACATGTTGCATGCTATGAAATTATTGGTCCTTTGGGTGTGTTGGAAACTCCTTTAAAATAATAATAATTGGTGATTTAAGTTTATTCAGAGAAAAATGAAAAATATGAACAATGTATTACTTTTATTAAAAAATGAATTAGTGGATAATTTTGAGATGAATCAGACAAAAAATGTGGATTGTTTAGGGACACAAGGAGTATTATTCATCATATTTGTTATTTCAATTTTAGGCCTTTCAACTTATTATGACTTCAGATAGCAAATTTTTATTGTTAATAATGACTAAAATATTATCAAGGAAAAGTTAACTTCAGTTTTTGGTCATACTGTTGTTATATACTCCCTCCGTCCCGCTGGAATGTTCCCGTTCACTATTCATTTGTCAACTTAGGTCACTCCTAATCTTTTACTTTATATATCAAATTTTTATCAAAACGAACTTTTCTGAATATGTAAATTTTATTTACTAAAAATAAGCGGAGTGTGAACAGGGATCGAGTTGCTTTATCGTCAGTCAAGCATCGTAAATCGAACGGGAACATTCCAACAGGACGGAGGTGGTAGTAATTTGTACATTCTAAATTACAATAAAAGTTGCACTAATTGTGTACCAAAATGTAAGAAAATCTTGGATTATTGGGCTACACACGTTTTTAAGAATATAAAAGATGCGAGCATAATTTATATCTGCAATTGTAGCTTTTTAAAAGTAAGTAAAAATGTTGTTAAAAAAAGTAAGCAAAAATGGGCGCATTCAAACGTTATCAGTGGGAGTATAATTATGCTTTTATTTATTTATTTATTTATTTATTTATTTATTTATTTATTTATTTATTTATTTATTTATTTATTTATTTATTTATTTATTTATTTATTTATTTATTTATTTATTTATTTATTTATTTATTTATTTATTTATTTATTTATTTATTTATTTATTTATTTATAATTATGGTATAGTGGTATACAAAATTTGTAAAACATCACAGATTAGCAACGTACGAGGGTGGATCTGGAATTCTGGATTCTGGACCATCTGGTCTCCATTTGGTGATTTGGGATTTAGATAGGTTCTTATAAAAAACTTGCACAGGCAACTCGTTTTATGATTTACACCGAAAATAGTATTTAGAATCCATTGGAATCCGTTCTGAACTAATTTCTTACAATGAATAGTCTCTGATTTTATAATGCAAGTATATAACACACTTTTTATGATAAAAAATTAAAATTAAAATAATAAGAACATGCAAACAATGTCTTGACAATAAGGCGGGCCTAGAGCACATAGCCCACCCGTCATCTGCCCCTTCCATTTTTTTGAATCCAAATCCCTCCACCCTACCGTTGGCGCCCTCATCCCTTCCGCTACCACCATGAAGGCATGAATTGAGCCTTCTTCATCCTCATCCAGCGAATCCTATCGAGTGGCGATTGCCCCCTTCCCTTGTTTTTGATGAAAATAAACCTCTGTGCAGAAAGCCTTCGAGTAGGCTGCCTGCCCTCAATATCAGGCATTTGTGTTCCTCCACAAACCCCAACACAACCATCGTGAATCGAAATTTGCTCAAAAACCTCCTTGCCGCTACTTATCTCCTTACTATGCCGCTGCTAGTGGTGGAACGGTTCCGGGCCGGGCCCGGTTTTATATAATTTTTTTTGGGTTTTCCTAATCAACCCCCTACCCTCCCCCTCAACCCCAAACCACCTCAAATGGCCCAAAATAACCAATCCAACCCAAAAACTTAAAAAACATTCAAAAAAAAAAATTAAATCCGGCCCGGACCAGGCCTGAACCGGCCGGGCCGGTTCACTAAAATGAAGGCCCGAGCCCGGAACCGGTAGCCACCGGGCCGGGTCGATCCGAACTGCCCATGGGCCGGGCCGCCGGCCCGGCCCGGTTCAAACAGTGACCGGTCCAGGCCGGTTCCGGGTCGGGCCGCCCGACCTGTGTCCATCCCTAGCTAGGGGTGGACTCGGGCCGGTTCGGGCCTGGGCCCGGCCGGGCCTCGGGCCAGAAAACTAGGGCCCGGGCCCGAACCGCCGGTGGGCGGTTCCGGTTCCGGTTCCGGGCCAAACCGGGCCGGGCCGGGCCGGGCCAACCGGTCTATTTTTTTTTTTTGGTTCTCCTTTTTAACCCCCTACCCCTCCCCCTCAACCCCAAACCACCTCAAATGACCCAAAATACCTAATCCAACCCAAAACTTAAAAAAAATTCAAAAAAAAAAACAAATTTTAAATCCGGCCCGGACCGGGCCCGAACCGGCCGGGCCGGTTCACCAAAATCAGGGCCCGAGCCCGGACCGCCATCCCACCGGGCCGGGTGGCCCGAACCGGTGCACCAACCGGTTGACCGGGCCGGTCCGGGCCCGCACAGTAGCGGGCCGGTCCGGTTCCGGGCCGGTTGGCCCGGCCCGAGTCCACCCCTATCCCTAGCCGCTGCCATTCCGGGCAAAGGCGGAGTGATACACTCTCATGCAACGAGAATAAAAGAGGTAATTTGAGTTTGCACACCATTTTGTTGTCCAAATTGAACTTTGCACCCCGTTTTTAAAAATTTTTGTGTTTGCACCCCAATCCCGTATGAAAAGACAAAAATGCCCCTCCATTAACAATGATGTTGACCTTCAACATATTCCTGGTCGAGAGGTATTTTTGTCTTTACATACGGGATTGGAGTGCAAACACAAAAGTTTTAAAAAACGGGGTGCAAAGTTCAATTTGGACAATAAAATGGGGTGCAAACTCAAATGACAAAAGAAAATGCTTACATGAAACGAGAATGAAATATACATTCAAAAGGCTAGAATACCGGTGTGGAACAAATAAGGGCTACTTTGGATCCGAAATGGCTCGTCTGGGACCATAACGAATCACACTGGGTTGACTTAGTACTAACACAATACTGTTTTCCGGGTCATTTTGTTAAAGGAAAAGCCCGTTTGGTAACCTACTCTTTTGGTTTGATTTCTTGTGGGTCAACTTTTTGTATCAAACACATAACTTTTGATTTCACGCGCTGAATTGTATAATGACGTAAATACATAAGGTTGTAATTCTTTTCTAATGAAATTACCGAATTTGATACAAATGTCTACTTCAGCTATTTTTTCATATAATTTTTTCTTTTCTGTTAATAATTATTTTTAGTCCAATGAACTCTACAAATACAATCGATTCATTAAGGGGCGTAACTAAGGGGGCAACCTAGGCCCCGACCCACCCCCAAATATTTCATATAATCCCCCCAAAAATATTCTTTGTTATGACCCAATGCCCTTGCTCTGACCCTAGATTCAACCCATATTTCACTAGTTTGCTCTAAATAATTAGATATACATAATACATACTCCGTATTATATAATACATGTAAATAATTACGAAGTATATATAGTGGCCTTCTTGTAAAATTAAAATGACAATTTAAACAAATGACAATTTAAAATTAAATTAGGAAATCAATTACGTATAGTAGTATATATTACGGTATAATATTTGTCAATAATAACTTACTTAATTCACTTCCGGTGATAAAATAATTCATTAAACAATTCGATCGGAAAGGCCTTGGTATGGCCGGATGGCAATTCCAATAGGACTGACCTCACATGGAGATTCATCAATATACTACGTAAAGTATTTGCCCAAAATAGGAGTAAAATAATATGAAAGTTCCTAAATAGGACTACCCCTAATTTATTCCGAAAATAGGAGTTTCAATTCCGCTTTTACCCCTGTCCACATTTAATGTCGGTCCTTTTAATTTCTAGCCCATCAACAACTCGGCATCTTCTCTCTCATCACTAAATCTATCCGTCTTCTCCCCTCCCCTTATCTCCTCTCCCACACGTTTCTTACCCTCTTTCTTCTCCCCACCATACTTCTCCCCCTCCATTAGTTAATAATTCATCTCAGCTCTTCTTCCCGTTTTGCAGATTTAAAATTTTCACTCGTCAAATTCAGATGCCAGCGAACCGCTCTACGTTGATTTCCGATGATGATTGAATGTCATAGATAAGTCTTCTTCTATTTCTTTCTATTTCTTCTTCTTCAACCCACGATTATTCTCCAGATTTTTCTTGTTTTCCATTAATTATTTTTTTACTACAACATTCTGAATATTTGAGATATTAACTTAAGAAATGGTCTTTTCGAAATGTTTTTTTTTTCTTTTGAGAACGAACGCCAACTAAATGAAATTTTAATTTTTAAAATTTTATTTTTTTATCTACTACTACGTATTACGATAAAAAAAATCTACTAGTACGTATTTTTTATTTTTTATTTTGGTTTTTGTTAGATTAATCAATTTTTCATTTTTATTTTGA